ATGGATCTATAATAATGTTAATTTTTAGTATACTAGTTTGAGAAAGAACTTCCCAAGATGGGAATATGACACAAAGGGGTAACAAACCCACAGCCTCTGATTTTTTATTCATGTTTTCTAAATATTGGTTCTCTTCTTTTTGTTGCAGAATTTATCAGCGAAGCTTTATGCTTCTTTGCGTATGCTTCGAACTATACTTGTAAAAGAAGCTGGTGAGGGGGTCATGGCCTACCACATTTTTGGGTAAGTTTTTTCCTTGAGTCCTTTATTAAGCTTATGTTCTTCATACGAAATTTTGACCCCTGGCTCATGATGATTCTTCCGCTCTACTTTAGAAACGCCACATTGCAGCAGATTAGCAAGAGAATTCCAAGAAACAAAGAAGAACTTCTTGAAATAAATGGCATCGGAAAGTAAGATCTTCTTTCTTTACTGTTGATCATACACAAAACACATCATTGATGTAAGAGTGTGACAGCCAGGACTTGTGTCAAGTTTCTTTTTTTTTCCTTTAGATCTACTACAATGTGTCCCCTTTAGATAAGCTGGCCTTTTAACCATAATGCTACTGCAGTCAATGAATATTGGTAGACATCCTATGGTTCATTGCCTTTAATAGTATCTTACTACTTAATAATCCACTAGATTTACCAAACACTCCAGATTATAATCCACTTGGATAATATTCCACAAATGGATTATAATCCAAGTTCCCAAACATGCTCTTAGGAATTTCCTTTATTATATGTTTCTTTTCTTGTTAAAGTTCTCCTGCGTGCGTAGGTATTGTACAAAGTGTATTAAGTATGGGACATTACACCTTTATAATCAATGAGAATGTAGAAAACCTCTTCTTACTTTCTTTTATTTCAACAATGACTGAACATATAATCAAGAATTGTGCAAATAAACATGCTTAAATCAATTTGTTATTTCAGGGCAAAGATAAACAAGTATGGTGACCGAGTTTTAGATACCATAGAATCTACAATCAGGGAGTATCAGAAGACAGTCAAGAACAGTAGCAGCGGTAGCAGCAATGAGAGTGCAGATGCAGCAAAGAGAAGGAGAGAATCAAAAGGGTCCCACTCCAATGCGCTCGATGACGATTTTGCCCCCACCACTACTCAATCCAAGAAACGAGGACCAAAGTTGGGGTCTAATAGTATATCAACAAACTATGAACGTTGTATAGATGTTGATTTGGATGGATATGAAGAAGAGGTTGAGGAGTCTGCTTCAAGAACGAAGCAGCAAGAATCCGGCAGAGTCTTGCCTCGGTGGTCAAAAACAGCAAGCAAACTGAAGAATGGTTCTGTGAATAATTTATTCAAGGATTATATGTTCAAGAAGTAGTCTCATTTCTTGCATTAAATGGATGAAAAATTTTGCTACTAACTTCAAGGTGTGTGGTTTGCTAGATTGCGCCGTTAATGGAACTGTTTAATTTTGGTCGGAGGAGGTTAATGTTAATGGTTCTAGTGGAGAAGAAGCGTCAAGGTGTACATTTTGTATAATATATGAAGATTCTGTTAGAATGCCGCTTCATTTGTCCTTGTGAAAGAAAGAGCTATCATCTTCAGCAATGCCTTCAAAATCTTTCAAGCTTTTCGTCACATTTGCCATCATTTATAGTTATTATCATCCCAATAGTAGAATGATAAGCAATACAGCTCTTGATTGCGTGTCTTCATTTCAGGGAAGATTTTTCTTTTTTCGGCGGAGAAGGTGACGTACCCCGACCTAATTGGCTAATGGGCCCAAAGGTGCTTGATAAACTGGACCCATTAGACTGCTTGACCGGTTTTAGTCATGACTTTACGGGACTGTTTTGTATGCAAACAGAGCTTTTTAGCAGTGAATACTGCGAAGGGATTCATATTTAAATTGGTTGATTTTCCAACATTGTAATTATGAATATAAATTAATTTGTGATTCGTATAGTCAGATGATGCATTCAATTTGGTTGGAGCAAAAATTGCTGCCTCTTAGAAAAAGGAATATATATATATATATATATATATATATATATATTATATAATATATATATAGAATATGGGTATGCTTGGTACCAAGCCATAAAATTTGTGCTTGGTAGTGACGGTGGCACATTATCTCCACTCATTCAAATGGGGGACCACATTCACACATGGGTTAAATGTGGTCCCCCTAATTGAATGAGTGGATGAGAATGAGACACATCACTATCAAGCACAAAATTTGTGGCTTGGTACCAAGTATACCCATTTTTCTCAGATATATATATATATATATATATATATATATATATATTATATATATATATATATATATATATATATATATATATTATATATACTAGCTCCTGTATTCTTACGATTTTTGCATGTGCAGGCATCAGCCCACCCCGCCCGCGCTCGAATCGCGGCATAAAAGTCAGAGGAGGAGGGAGTTCGGCTCCAACTTTCATCCTCTCCTTCCCCACCATCGCCTAGATCGAAACTGCATCCGACCGCAGGAAACCCTCATCGACTGTTTGTTTACGAGCATCAACACATGTCATTGATACCAACATGAAATCAAGCTTGACATGAGAAAATATAGCATTGTAAAAGTGAAAAACATTTCAAAAAATAGCGTTCTAAAAGCAAAATGAATAATTAAAGCTCATAAGACAAGATGATTGGTTAAAAGTGGGCTAAAATGACACAAAAGATAATATGGAGTTTGTTCCTAATCCTTGATAAATTTAAAAAAATATATAAAATAAAGATTAATACTAAATCTAGTATACTTTTATATAATAAAAACATCCACATAAACATATAAAAGTACTAAAAAAGTTTTTAAAAATCCCTTCCAAAAATTCCTAACTTACTCCAAAAAAAACCTATTCTATAAAATATTCAGAGAATAGTGTCTTTCATTTCTTTTGTTTTATTTTTTATTGAGACGTTATCAATCATTCTTCACCTTTATCTTTTTTGATAAAATTAGACTACTTTTAGATGCCAAAAAAAGAATAGTAAAACCTTAAAATAAAAGTTAAATTTATATATCTTAATGAAAGAATATCAAACAACTACTCTTTTTTTTGCTATGTTTTGAAATTTTAGTCACTTTTTCGTGATTTTGAATTTTAAGGGTGTGTTTTGCAAATTTTAAAACTTTGGGAGTGTTTTTAAAAAAATTAAATTTTAAGTTGAGTGCTTGTAATTTTCATGTTTCATATGTTGGTAGTAAGTTTTTTAATGTCAGAATATTTCTTACAACTCTGAATTTTGAGGGTATTTTTTATAATTATTGAAACTTTAGATTGTTTGTTGCAAAATTTAAAATTTTAACGGTCTGTTGATAATTTTGAGATTTGATATGTATTGGTTATAAGTTATTAAATTTTAGGGTTTTGTGTGTTTTTTAATTTTCGAAGGAGTTTTTCAGAATTTTTATAACTTTGAGGTTATTTTTTATAAATTTTAGTTTTTTAGTGTCTGATAGTATTTCTTTGAATTCATCTTTGTTGTTCGCAAGTTTTGAAATTTTAGTATTTCCTAGTGCTTTTTTATTATTTGAACTTTTGAGGGTGTTTTTATAGTTTTTAAAATATTGAGGGTTTCATGTTTGTTGTTTTAAGTTTTGAAACGTCTGGATGTTTTGTGTAATTTTATGCTTTTAAGGGTGTTTTGTGCAATTTTTAAAATTTTTTGGGGTTTTTTACAATCTTTATATATTATAGTTTATTATTTTTTAAATTATTAACCAGTAAGTATGTCACATAAGATTAGGATAGGATATAATTATGATTATAATAAATTAAATTTAAATAAAATATTCAAATAGTCAAGGGTAATATTGACCATTGAAAGATTTTACCGAACTCGTATAATTTTAAAATTTGATATGTATTGGTTATAAGTTATTAAAATTTAGGGTTTTCTGTGTTTTTTAATTTCGAAGGAGTTTTTTGGAATATTTATAACTTTGAGGTTATTTTTTACAAATTTTAGTTTTTTAGTGTCTGATAGTAATTCCTTGAATTCTCTTTGTTGTTCGCAAGTTTTGAAATTTCAGAATTTCATAGTGCTTTGTTATTATTTAAACCTTTGAGGGTGTTTTCATAGTTTTTAAAATATTGAGCGTTTCATGTTTGTTGTTTTAAGTTTTAAAACGTTTGGATGTTTTGTGTAATTTTATACTTTTAAGAACGTTTTGTGCAATTTTTGAAAATTTTTAGGGTTTTTACAATTTTTATATATTATAACTTATTAATTTTTAAATTATTGACCTGTAAGTACTTCACATAGGATTAGGATAGAATATAATTATGATTATAATAAATTAAAATTTAAATAAAATATACAAATAGTCAAAGGTAATATTAACCATAGAAAGATTTTTCCAAACTCATACTTTTAAAGGGAGTATATGATAAAAAGAAAATTATCCCACCAAACTAAAAATGACCTTTCCACAGTGAACTCGCAATGGAAAGGGGTTCTTTGGTTTCAGTCCGTTAAATCTGTAGTATTTTGATATTAGTCCCCTAGTCTCCAAATCTCATTACTATGTTGATATTAGTCCCTCTTAACTAAGGGCTGTTTGATTTGCAGCAGCAGAATATTCCGTTAGCATTAACTTTCAAGGTGAACTAACTTTTAATACCCCTTCCGTAACAAACCGAAATCCAATATCCATATTAAATTCATATCCAATTAAAACCTCAAAACTCAGTTCACCTTATTAGCTCCACCTAGTGGTGCTAAATTGTATCCGTATCCGAGGAAATATCTGTAACTGCATTCGTTAGGATACGTATATGGTTACTCAAATCTATAACCGATAGAATATAGTTACGGATATGCTTTATAGTGAAATATCCGTATCCGTATCCGAAATATCCGAATACATATTAGTCATACTCTTACGATAGTTTCGATTCTTAGATTATGTATTTGTGGTTTATTTTGATAATCAAGATGTCTGCTCTTAACTTTCAGATATAGTGAACATATTAACGAACTCTTTTGTATCACATGAACTATGTTTTTCTCAATACTATCTAGTTTTTTCATATCCGTTTTGTATCCGCATGCATATTCGCTTATATACCTGCATGTATATCTGTAACTGTATCCGATTTTAGCGAATATGGTTATGAATTTTCTTTATCGAGGTATATCCGTATCTGTATCCGTATTCGAGATGGGTACACGGATATGGATATGATAAGCATCATATCCGAGCCGTATCTGGACCGAAGTATCAATTTGGGGAAAAGTAAAGATTTTTGATATAAAAACCCTTTTTCTTATGCTGTTGGGCTTCATCGTTGGATCCAAATCACTATTACCATTTTATGGGCCTCCCATGACAAGAAGCAAAGAGCAAGGGCGACCATATTTAAATGCTCTCCTCCCCTACTGCCCCCCTCCCCCTCGCCAAATTTCTCTTCCCCCATCCCCCTTCATTGGCCCTTCTGCTCTCCCTGTTAATATGACCCGGTCAATTATTGACCAAACAAACTAAGGAATATTCCCTAGATATTATTGAGTTGTTAGCATAACTTCCTTAATATCTGTAGAAAAGGGATTCGTGGATGAGTAGAGGAAATTTTGGAGGCTGATACGATTTGGGGTGGATGTGGTTACTGAAAAGCTCTATAAAAGGAAGGGTTATCTCATTGTTTCCAAAACCCCAAATCAAAACCACCCTCTTTTATCCTTTTACTCCCCTCCTCGACAACCCAAAAAACCTCTCTCCATCTCCTTCTCTGAAGAAGAGGTTGATGCTACTGCTGCTGATTAGGTGGGGCCCATTAATGTTGACAAAGTCAAAGTCTCGATCTAGGGTCTCATCGTCATTGCCGCTAAAGTGTGAGGTGGCGGGATTTGTGGCGTAGCAGGAGGGGGAGAGTAAGAGATTTGGGAGGGAGCATGTATTGTGGTGTTGTTGAGCACTCGCTAGTGGGTGGGCAGTAGGGAGGTCAATTTTGGGGAGGTTAGGCGGTGGTGAGAAATATAGCTGGGTAATTTGAGGAGGAGGATGATAATAATGTTTTTGGGAGGACTTATGGCATGTTTGGATGAAGGGTATAGGGCTGTCCAAAAAGCTCACGGCCCAGGCCCGGCCGGGCTGGGTTCCTGGACACCGGGACCAGATCCGAGCCCGGGCTCGGCCCAGAACAGTGCCGACCGGGGTACAGAAACCAGGCCCGGACCCGGGCCCGGCTGCAACGATCACCAGGGGTGACCAACGGTCACCTGAGGTGACCATTGGGCAAAAATATCCGGGCCGGGCCGGGCATTTTTGACCGTTTTGGTTGGGCCGGTCCGGCCCGGCCCAACCATAATGGCCAAAACGGACGTTTTGCCCCTAACAATGGTCAAAAACAGCTATTTTATGAGAGTTTTTTCGTCATTTGCCTAGGATGCTGCATCTATAAATAGAGGGGGGTTTTCACTTCTTCCCCTCATACCAAAACTCATCTACTTCTCTCTAATACTCTCTTATACAATCTTATACTCTCTTATAATCTCTTATACTTTCTAATCCTTCCATCAAATGGCTTCTGGATCTGATTATGAAGAGCAAAACCTATCTCGTATCGATCTTGAAATGAGTCCTACAACTACTCCTCCTACCAGTGTTAATCCCGAATCTGGTGGTGACGAATCTGCACCAAAAGCTCCTAAAAGACCGAGATCCGATGTGTGGATTTTTTTTGAGAAGATAGACGTCACCAAGAATAAATACGGTAGGAAGGCTAAATGTGCGTTGTGCGGCCAAACTTTCCAAGCTCATCATAAGAACGGCACCAACCACCTCAAACACCATATAGAAAAACACAACAAAGGCCAAAATCCTCAAGATGATATCCGACAACCTATGATTTCCCAATCCTCCTCTTCTGGTAGTCTCGGTAGTTAGAATTATGACGTGCCCGAGTCAAAAAATGCGTAATCAGGTTT